CCAGAGCCTTCTGTACCCATTTTTACAGCTGACCTAGGTATTGCTATGGCAGAACTAACACTTGCAGTTAGGGCTAACCATTAAACTGCTATGCCCTTGTAGAGTTCACTTAAACCCCAGCATCTACTTCACAGCATAACCCCAGTACTTTAGTAAATCCTTGCCTTTTCTCCTACCCTTTTACTAAACTCCTAATTCAAATAGCCCATGTAGGACTACAACCAGTCCATCAGTATATCAGGTCAACCTAATATTCTTTTCCTCTAGTTCATTCTGGCAGCCTGGTTGATGGTACCTCCAAGACTCCCAATCTGGAGGTTCTTGCCTATCTGGCTACTAGGACCAGGTACTAGACCTAGGTATCCGTTTCGCCAGGCTAGCCTTTACAGTAGGACTGTCGAAAATCCAGCTACCTCTCTACTCGGGTCTTCCCAAATAGACTTTTTGTTATCCAATTTCAACAAATTTACACGGCCATGAGGACTTATCTAGTGTTTGCACTGCCTGATATGTCAGTTTGCATTCCTCTGTGTAACTCCAACATTGCACAGATGTCCCATGACCTGCCAGTCATGCTGGTGCGACTACTATTACAGGTATCCTAATCCAACTGTTAGTAACAGTTGCCATAATACAAATATTACATAGGTGATTATCCAAATTTTTACCATCAATGGGATTTGAACACCCAACCTACCACTTGGGAGGTTGACAACCTGACCACTTCACTAGGTCGCTACATCTCTTTTTGTTTTTTTTTTAATTTTGATTTTTTTTATTTATTTATTATTTTTTTTTCAAATTTTTTATTTACAATTTTTTTTTTTTTTTGTCTTCATTAGTTAGTTTAATTTTTTGATTTTTTTTTTTTTTGTAGTCTTATGCTTCACCAAAAAGGCTGAGATTGGAATCTAACTTGGAACTAATACAAAAGTAAGTACCAGTTTACTTTTTTTTGTTTTTTTTTGTTATTACTAATTATTGTTTTTTTTACTTTAGGTCTTATGCTTTGCCTAAAAGGGTTAATAGAGGCCAGAATCAGGATCTTGAACTAGGATAAGTACTATTCTCTTTTTTTTTGTTTGTTTTTTATTTTCTTTTTTGTTTTTCAGTTTTTTTTTCTTGTTACTAATTCTTTTTTTTTTCCTTTAGGTCTTGTGCTTTACCGAAAAGAGTTAATAGAGGCCAGAATCAAGATCTTGAACTAGGATAAGTACTATTCTCTTTTTTTTGTTTGTTTTTTGTTTTCTTTTTTGTTTTTCAGTTTTTTTTTTCTTGTTACTAATTCTTTTTCTTTTTCTTTAGGTTTTGTGCTTCACTAAAAAGGGTTAATGAAGGCCAAGATCAGGATCTTGAACCAGAATAAGTACCATTCTCTTTTTTTTGTTTGTTTTTCATTTTTCTTTTTGTTTTTTGGTTTTTTTTTTCTTGTTACTAATTCTTTTTCTTTTTCTTTAGGTCTTGTGCTTTGTCAGGAAGAGTTAATTTAGACCAAGATCAGAATCTTGAACTAGAATAAGTTCCATTCTCTTTTTTTTGTTTGTTTTTTGTTTTCTTTTTTGGTTTTCATTTTTTTTTCTTGTTACTAATTATTTTTCTTTTTCTTTAGATCTTGTGCTTCGCCAGAAAGGGACAATGGAGGCTGGGATTGGAATCTTGAATCCAAATAAGTACTATTTTCTTTTTTTTATTTGTTTTTCATTTTGTTTTTTGTTTTTTGGTTTTTTTTTCTTGTTACTAATACTTTTTCTTTTTCTTTCAGTCTTATGCTTTGCTAGAGAAGGCCAGGATCAGGATCTTGAACTAGGATAAGTACCATTCTCTTTTTTTTGTTTGTTTTTTATTTTCTTTTTTGTTTTTTGGTTTTTTTTTCTTGTTACTAATTCTTTTTTTTTTCTTTAGATTTTGTGCTTCACCAGGAAGGGTTAATAAAGGCCAGGATTGGGATCTTGAACCAAAATAAGTACCTTTCTCTTTTTTTTGTTTGTTTTTGTTTTTCTTTTTTGTTTTTTAGTTTTTTTTCCTTGTTACTAATTCTTTTTCTTTTTCTTTAGATCTTGTACTTCACCAGAAAGGGTTAATGAAGGTCGGGATCAGGATCTTGAACCAGAATAAGTACCATTTCTCTTTTTCTTTTTGTTTTTTTCATTTTTTTTTGCTTTTTTGGTTTTTTTTCTTGTTATTAATTCTTCTTTCATTTTCTTTAGGTCTTGTGCTTCACTGAGAAGAGTTAATGAGAGCTGGAATTAAGATCTTAAACCTGGAACTGGTACAAAGATAAGTATCAGTTCACTTTTTTTTGTTTTTTTATATTTTTTTGTATTGTTACTAATTCTTGCTTTCTTTTTCTTTAGGTTTTATGCTTCACTGAGAAGGGTTAATAAAGACTGAGATCAGAATCTTGAACTTGGAACTGGTATAAAATAAGTATTAGTTCATTTTTTTTTTGTTTTTTTTGTGTTATTAGTAGGTTTTGTGTTTCACCAGGAAGGTTTAATAGGAACTAAAATATATAATATAGTTTTTATTATTATGTAATTATTATATAATTATTATTTAATAAAAATTGAATAAAAAATTATATTTAATAAATAATAATTAAAAATTAAATAAATTAATAAATAGTTTTGAAATTTTTTTAATTATTTAGTAATAATAAAAAATTTCTAATTATTTCACAATATTGTGAAATTTTTTTAATTATTTTGTATTATTGTAAAAATTTCTGATTACAGTAATTCGCATTATTGTGAAAATTTTCTAATTATTTCATATTATTGCGAAAATTTTCTAATTATTTTGTATTATTGCAAAAATTTGCTAATAATTTATAATATTGCGAAATTTTTTTGATCATTTTATAATATTACAAAATTTTTTTAATTATTTCACAATATTGTGAAATTTTTTTATTTTGAAAGAATTTTATGTTAATCATAGTTATTTTAAAAGATTTTTAGTATGCAAAATCTTTTATAATATTTTGCTTATATTTTTTGCTGATATAAATTAATTGTAAAAATAGGTACAGAAGACTCTAAGAAGTTTATCTCAAGAATAAATTAGTCTTAAGATTGAGATGATAATCTGAATATCTAAGTATGACTCAGTGAATAAATACAAATTATAGATTTAGAAGGTTTAAAGTAAAACACCCAAGCAAGGGTGTTAGATATAGCAATTGATAGAGAACCTTCAGATGAACTCCTTAAATAGGTAATATAGAAAAGTTACATATATAACCAATTGTACTCTCTTCTGTAGTGGTTCATTGAACTACAATACTGATAAGTGATTAATAAAAGTTAAAAGACCAAAGAGATTACCTTAATACCAAAAAAAAAAAAAAATTTTATTATAACTCTATTGTTTTTAAATTTATATATTGATATATTTCAAAATATTTTGCATTTTGTTAAGTTTATAAAATTTTTCAAAAGTTTTGTATTGTATAAAAAATTTTAAAATTTCTTTTACAATATTTTAAAATATTTACATAAAGCAAAAATTTCAAAAGATTTTGTACAGCACAATAAGTTCAAAATATATTCCACAATATTTTAAAGGATTTGCATAGTGCAAAAATTTTAAAATTATTATACTGTACAATCTTTTGAAATATTTTACATTTATAATTTTGCTGATGTATGTATAAATTCTTTTAATCGTTTGATGAGACGTTACACGAACATTTAATTCTCCGAACCGAAAGCTCGCTATGCTCGAGTAAGTTTTGCCCTCCGGATAAATAATATCATGTGATTGATCTACAACGATAAACCAATCGCAATGAACCTCTCTATGCTCAACATATAATACCTCTTTTTTTAAAAAAAGTTTTAAATACACTTTTCAAATGGAAGAAGAGAACGAAAGCCCTAAATCTATCAATGGCGTTAACAAAAGCGTTAATGAAAATAGTGCGGATGAAATTGACGATCTATTTGGAGGTGTGGGTAGTGACGAAGAACGGTATTAACTTTGCTGGTGCTATTTTGCGTATAAATGGAATATACAATGAAGTTGTAAATAATTTATATCTATTAATCTTTCAAGAGAACGAGTAGGTTCGGTAGATATAACTCCAATTGCTTCACCCATTAATTCAGAAGAAGAAGAGCAGGAAGAACAAGAAGAGCAGGAAGAGCGAGAAGAACGGGAAGAGCGGGAAGAGCGACGACTAAACTTTGAGTCTGAAGCAATGTCGAATGTATTTCGCTTACCATTAAAAAGTTGGAATAATAAGGTTTAATAAACGAGCAATGGTATTACTTTATTTGTAATTTGTTTATTTGGCTAATAATTAAATTTATATAGTACATTGTCGCAAAAGTACCAAACTTTTTTCACTATACGACTGCCGCTTTTCGACCAGAAACTTATAGCCAAGCAGATGATCAGACAGTAGAAGATGCGATAAAGTTAGGTGCACAAGATGGACTGCGTTGGCGGTACAAGAAGGATCCAAATACAGGTATAGAGGTATGTATTAATTATGTTATCCAATTGGTTCTTTTCATTCATATTATTACATTGTTTGCTTACCAAATTGTAGACTAATGAAAAAGAATCAAATGCCAGGATAATAAAGTGGAGTGATGGGTCAAAGACCCTACTTATTGGAAAGGAACAATTTGAAATATCTAGTGAATCTTTAGAATCACAACACCAATTTCTCACGGTTCCTCATCGAGGATCAAATACGCTTGAGCTTCATGAAAAGCTCAATGAGCATATTACCTTTTGCCCTATTACAGGCAGTATTACTCATAAGAAATTAACCGTAGCCATTCAATCTAGGCACGCCAAACAAGTAAAAACTCAGTTTGTTGATATGAACAAAGATCCAAAATTGATTCGGCTCCAAATAGAGGTATTTTGGTAGAATTTGATATTTGAATTATTGTACGACATATATATGTATATATACGTATAATATGATTTTTTAATCTAGGCTGAAAGAGATAAAAAACATAATGTGCAAAAACGCATTGCAAATGCGAATCGCGTTCCCAAGGGACGTAGAAAACATGATGATGATTCTGATGCAGAAGAAAGAAATCCTGCATTCAGCGCTAGTAAACCGCGGAATGATTCTTACGAAGATGATTCGGGATTTGTGGTAGCAGATGAGGAGGATGATGATGATTTTGATAGATTAAAGCGGCGTCGCAAAGGAAAAGAGAAGGCTGATAGTTTTCGTAAGAGAACAACATCCAGCGTTGCGACGTCGAAATCCAAAAAGCATCGCATTTATGATGACGAATCAAATGAAGAGGATCAAGATGATCCCTTTCAAATGGATAACGAACCATCTTACGAGCATCGTGATCGTCATGAACGATCAAAAAAACGAGTAAAAGAGCATCATTATACTGAAGAAATACCAAAATCTCGGAGGAATAATAGTTTTGAGGAGTCGGATGGAGAGAATCAAGGAGAATCCCAAGACCGTGATGAACACCCTAAGAAACGAATAAAGGAGCAACCACGTATTATTGAGGAAGATGAAGAGATTAACGTCGTAGATCAAATTGCTAGTGAGCCTGACGAAGATGAGGAAGAGGAAATGCCAGTGGTAGTCAAAGGAAGAAAGAGAAATAGGAATGTTGTCGTTACAGATGATGATGATTAAAATTTTATAGAGTGGAAATAATAACATAATTTTAAAGTCATTCTATTACAATTGTATTTAAAATATAGAATTTTTAATTTTTAAGAATGTTAATGACAGGACTAATATTAATATCGCATGGGGTGATACTCTTGTTGCGCACCGATCAGATTGTCCAAATTTTGTGTATCGATCGATGTAAACCAAACTAAAAAATATTTTAGCAGTCATAGGATATATTTTAATAATTGCTATTACTTATGAGTCAAATGAAGTGACATACCAATTTTGTGTAAATTTTTACAAAAAAATTATTAAAATTTAATTTATTTAAAAGATTTATATAAAACTTTTTTAAAATTTTAAATATATATTCTTTATTATTTTATTAAAAGTTTTATTTCTTAACTGTTAGTGTTAGTAGTTTAAAGAAAATTTTTATTATGTTTTTTAAATCAAAAACCTAATTTATTTAAAATAATTATATGATTGATTAAAATAATTTTTAAAAATTAAAGAAAATTTTATTATTTTTTTGTCTTTAAATAAAATTGTAGTAAAGGTTTTATTAGTTCTAATTATACATATCATGAAAATAGATTTTCAAAAAAGGTTTCTTTTGTTTTTATTAAAGAAAATTAAAATACTTTATAAAAAAGAACAAATCTAATTTATGTATTTATGTTACTTTAATTTTATCTTTTAAGTAAAGATAAATTAAAACAATTTTATCATCAAATTTAATTTTAGGTTTCATCTTTACAAAATAATTTTATTTTTATGTATAGTTATAATGATAATTAGATTATTAAAATTAATTAAAGACACAAATATAAAAAATTTGTAAATTGTTTTTTTTTTTGTATTAAAGTTTCTGTTTTTGAAAAGTGATTTTTATTTAAGTCTTTGTCAAACATAAGTGCCTTTAAAGGTTCTCTTATATTGGAAGTTATGACTAATCATATATATATTTTTGGTGTTTAATTTAAGTAGTTTACCTAATATATTACTATATAAATTATACTAGATACTATATCTGCAAGCCAACTACAAGTTTTGTCTATTTAAATCCTCTGCATATGCAATTCTTTTGTATTATAAAAATAATTCCTAATTCTTATTAGTACCTTTAAAACTATTTTATTCTTAGTAAAAAACTTAATAGAGTTTGTTATGTTTTATATATATTGATCTAGTTTTATACAACATGCTATAGTTATTTAATACTTGCAATCATAAAGGTTATTTGTTTAACCATTATGTTATATTATTTTTACTTTTGTAAAGTTTACTAGAACTTCAGTACTTATTTTTTTAACATTTTCTTTATCATCCTCTACTAACTACTACTTAGAACTGACAGATTCTAATCAGACTATTATTCAAATAGTTTAGTATAGTATATTTCTGTATTCTTTTTTTTGATAAATTTGAAAACTTGGTTAATTATATGTTTTTCTATATATTTTTACATTTAGTTTATCTAATTTGTTTTTTTAAGAATAATTTGTAGCTTTAACTAGTTCAATAATATTATTAAAATTTTATATTACTTTTTTATTTAAGAATTTGTAAATAGGTTTTTGATTTTTTAGTTTCTTAATCTTTCATACTTAGTGATCTTATTATGGGTTTGTACTAAAATCTTATATGACATTAATTAGAATATTTTTTTAAGTATATGTAATATTATACTTCATATAGATGTCTTGAGCTTCTAATAATAAATAAAATTTGACTTAGTATATTTGGATTACAGTTATATAAGGTCAACTAATTAACAAAAAACAGTTATTATAATATAGATTAATTTTCAAATTTTATCATAGATAGAATTTGAATATTAGATCTAATACTTGAAAAATGATAACTTAACTATTATTAGTTAAAATTTTTAATATAAAAGACTAATAGAAGAAAGATAGTTAGATAAAATATCAGAAAATAAATACTCAAATATCATATAAAAAAAATAATAATTAATAAAATCAACAAACTATTAGTTTAAAATCATAAAATAATATAATAAAGTTATACTAAAATTTAAAATTTAGACTAAAATTCCATATAATATTACTGCAAAGCAAGTATCAGAATTGGTTAAAAGAATAGAAAAACCTAATGAAATATGTATATGATACAGCATGAATAAAAAAACCTAAGCAGAAATAGAATAGTATACAACAGATCAAAAGCTAGAAAATAAAGTAAGAAAAATTTAGGTATTATCATTAAAAAGTGGCTACTTAGCTAGAATAACAGTAGAAAGAAGTGACAGTTTAGAATTAGAAGAAAGAAGAAAAATTTATACTAGAATTAAAAAGCTGTCTAGCTTTACAAAAGAAACACTTTTGCTAAGATAGTTGAGAAACATCAATGCAAAAACAGTATATATCTTTTTAAACAGGAATGGAAACCAAAGAAGCCAGGTCGTTGTTGAATTTGAAAATGAAGAAGATAAAGAAAGAGCAATAAATAGAAGAATAAAGTACTTTACCATAGTCTGGAATGAGAAACAGAAAGTAGCTATAGAAATAAAAAAAGCTTAGATACTAAAAATGAGATACTCAACAGAAATTCTAGAAGAAGAATCCAAGAACAAATACAGCAAACAACAAGAAAGAAAAACAGTAAAGAAAGTTAGAACACTTTGAGTTCTAGGAATAAAGAAAAGAGGAGAGATATGGAAAATAAGAGAAAAGATGAAGAGAATAAAGAAGCAATCGAAGAAATTCTTCAAAGATTGGTAGAAGAGGTTAGAGAAAAGTTATGTAAGAAGCTGTCAAGAAATATAAAGAATGAAGCAAGTACTCCCAATCGCTCCTAAGACAGTTGTTACAGTTGTTTATAGGAACATATTTACAGAAAAAGAGTTCAGCTCAGTAGGAATAAAGTCAAACAAAAAAGAGCCAACAAGAACAGGAATGGTTGCTAAAGAAAAAGAACATTATAAAACAATAAAACTGGGAGTTCATAATATAAATAGCATCAAAGGAAATAACTATAAGCTTTAAGAGTTACTAGACTACTATAAAGATCAAAAATTCAATATAGTAGAGATAACAGAAACTAACATAAAGGAGAAAGAAGCAAAATTTATGAAGAAACAAAAAGAAGGCTATAGGGATTACTGGTCAAGTGCAGAACAAAATAAACATAAAGGCTTAGGAGTAGATGTACTAGTAGACAGTGAGTGGAGCAAACATATTACAAAGATAGAAAGACTGAATGCATATTTGATTAAAATAGTATTCATATTCAAAAAAGCAGCAATCAATGCTAAGTTATGTACTTGTCACCAAATGATAAAAAGTTACAAAAAGATATACAAAGAGTTATAACACAAGATGTATGTACAGTCAAAAGGAACTCACATTACATTATAATAGAAAACTTCAACAGAATACTAGATGCAATACTAGACACAACAAATAGCATAAATAAAAAACATAAAAAGCTTTTACTAATAGAATGGTTAAAAAGTATTGGGTTCACAGAAACATTTTAGTATTACAATTCAACACAACAAAAGTTTACATGATCAAATAGTGTAACTAAAACAAGAATTGATCAAATATAGATAGCCAGCTCCTTAAAATTAGAAATAGAAAACAGTAACATTGAGGAGATGAAGATTATAACAAATAGTGATCATAATTTAGTATAGGCAGAAATTGGCCTAGGCACAGTACTAAAATTTGCACAAAAAATAAGAAGAATAGAAGAAGCACTTAGGCAAAAAATTTTTCTATACAAAGAGGCAACAAAGAAGATATAGGAAGACTATAAAACAACATTAGAGAAAATGTTACAAGCAAGACTTGAATTGGATACACAAAATCAAAAAAGCAAGAAGAAAATGATAAAAGAAGAATCAAAAGTAGAAGAAGAGATAAATAAAGAATAGAAAGTAATAGAGAAGGCAATTATAAAAATAGTGTCCAAACACATACCTTCTAAAATAGTAAAATACAGATCAGAAGAAATGAAAAAACATATAGATAGATCTCCTCTTTTTAAAAATACTAAGAACTTAAAAAGAATAACTCGACAAGCAGCAAAAGAAATAAACCAGAAAATAGATGAAATTGATAAATGCTAACAAATACTCAAATTGATTCAATCAATGAAAGAAATAAAACAATAGTGCTACAAATAGAGGAAATTTGGTCAATAGAATGAATTAAAGAAATGAAAAGCTGGATAAAGACACTAAAGCAAAAACTTAAAAAAGAAGAAAGAATAAGAATTGAATAAAATATTATCAATAATATAGAAAAGAAATACAGCCTAATTGGCAAAAAAGATAAGTTTATGCTAAATAGCATTCTGGAAAGACCTTGAAGAAAGATAGTTATTGACAAAGTTATGAAAAAAAACAGTATAGATACTCAAAAAACTCTAATAATAGAACCAAACCAAGTTAAAGAAGAAGTAGATAGCAACTTTAAAAATTAGTTCAGAAAGAGAAACCATCTTTTTGAACAGTTTCCTGAAGACTGGGAAAAAAAATATGAGGCCAAGGAATGGATTAAAGAAGAATAGTTCAGTAAAATACTAGAACTAATTTAGAAAACAGAATAGGAAGAATGCCTGAAAATGACAAAAAAAGATACTGCTCCAGGAGTATCAGGAATTAGTTACATTATGATACAAAAGGCAGAACTAAAAGCATCAAGCAAATTTATAAATTTGCTAAATAAGATTTTAAAAAGTGGCATTTTTTTAAAAAGGTGAAAAATAATCCAAATTTTTTCAATACCAAAGATAGAAGAATGAGAGCTTTCTTTAGCAAACACCAAATCTATAATACTACTAGAAACATTTCAGAAAAGTCTAGTACATATAGTACAAAAAAGGCTAAGTAAAGTACATACAAATCACCAAATTCTGAAAGGGTACAACTTTGCAGATTTTCCAAAAAAAAGCACAGGTGCTCCAATACATGTATTAAGCAATATATTAGAAGAAGCTAAAAAAGAAGAGAAAGAGTGTTAGTTGCTACTGCTAGACATCAAAAA